GAATGTATACATGCTATCTGATAATAGCAAATAATGTTGATTTCAAAAATTAGTATAATTAATCTACAAGGAATCACGAGATAAGCCATATATGATTAGAAAGCTTATCAAGTCTAGTTTCTAACACATTAAAAATATCTTAATTCCAAATTGATATCTTGAGATATGATTGTTTTAGTTAAAGGAGCTTAGGCTATTAGTAGTAATTAGTTGAGTTAACTCTTGTTTAACTTAATTATTTTTTGTATAATTAGTCTCAAAATAGGTTGATTAATTACTGTTATTTTGAAATTATCTGGAATAGGCTGTTAAGTTTTTTGAAAAAAAAACTAAGTAGTGGAATCGAAATAAAGTAAGTAAAATCGAACATGCTTTACTTGTTTTCAAACTTATGTATATACATATGTTTCTAAATGAGCAAATATTTTATTTCATTATTTTCGATATATGAAAATAAGACCAAGCATATGAATATTTTATATTTTTTATATGTAAATGATGGATCATGCTTATGAATAAAATGAAAAAATGACATATATTTAAGAAACGATTTTATGATAGCTATATTTTTACATATTTGGGAAGTAAAGTCATCGACATCAAAACTAGTTCTACAATCTTGGCTAACGAGTAATAGTAGTTAGCATAGATATGATCATTCGACCCTACTAATAGGTTATAGTAGTTAATGCAAGGTTCTGGCTAGTCGGTTATAATTGTTAACAATAATTATGAAGATGAAATTATCGATATAACCAATATCACAGGTTATAGCAGTGACCATAGCTAATGATAAATAAATGATAATGATGATTTATGATAATAATGATTTATAATAATAATGATTTATGATGATTTTAAAAAATGATTCATGATTTGTATGAAATATGCATTTGACTGTGATTTGGGATTTGTAATTGATGAATTGACATGTTTTGATATTGATTTATGATCTACGAAATATTTGACATAATGATGATTTTGGAAATGTTTTGACATTATGATTTGATTAATATTTTGAATGTTCTATATGATATGTATGAAAACGATGTTTGATCTGATAAGATATGTGAGCCTATACTTGCTGAGTTATGATTTACTCATTCTCTTTTTATATTTTTTTTACAGATAAATAAGTGTTAAGTTTGCTTAGTTTTGTGACAAGCTAAAAGATCAAATGAAAAAGATTACTTAGTCATCAAAGACAATATTGACCAATGAAATATTATAAAACAGTTTTTTATTTTTATATAGTTTGTATTTGGATATATAGGGATATATCATTAGTTAAATTAAAAATATAGATTTTACTTGACCTATTATATCAGTTTATTAAAAAATTTTAGAATGATTAAAAAAAATATTTCTTATTACTTTTAAATTTTACTTGAAGATAATATATTTGTATTATGTTTTATTATCGAGGTGTGACAAGAATAAAGGTGTGGAGTGGTTGAAAATATAAAACAATGCTATTTTCGTTTTGTAATCCATCCAAATGTACTGAGTCGGAGAACAAAATCGGCTCTAATCTAAAGAATTCATCTAGCTGACTCAACATCTAGCTGACTCAACCAAGATGTATGCTTATATAGAACTTGAATATCAAAGAATTTAAGGTCCAAGTCACAAACGGTTTCATATTCGAAATCAACACAGCGTGTCGTGCAGGAAGCCCATTATATTTATGATACATAACCATTTTTGTTCCTCAGTGACCTTGTGGGACAATTTTATGATTCCATGAAATATTATATTAACCCGTAACCTGTTCCTTGATTACCACCCAACAAATTTAGCTAGAGTCATTTGCAATTGAACTAATTTCGTTTCTTTCTGCTTTGTCTGTCCAAAGGAAAGCGACATTTTACCAAGGGATTATGTGAGAATGGACAGTGGAAATGGAGTAGTTTTGTAGGTGGCACAATTTGACAATACAGGCCGGTGAACATTATATCATCAGAGTTAAAATTTTATGAGTTGCTGATGGTGGACGCAGAAAATGGTCATGGAATCTGGGAACAAGAAAATACAAATGAAAGACTCCATGGTGTCAAAGCATCCTATAAAGCCGTTGATTCAAGCCTTTTTTACCCTTGACTAAGGGAAGAAAGATGGCCTTTAATAAGTAAATCTGTAATTAATGTATTTTTAATTTAATAAAGATAATACATTAAATATAAATTTTTTAAATAATATTTTAAAATCTTTAATCAATATCCATAAGCGAGGTTAAATCCTATTCAATTGCTCAATGTTCAGCACAAGGACAGGACTAGGGGCGGGGGCCATGGCCCTTCGGCTTTGCAAAATCCCCCTTAGCCCATTTACAAAATTTATGTGTTGGCCCCCTCGTATTGTACTGTGGCTCCATCCCTGTTTAGTGGTTGAACTAATTAAAAAGGAGATAAGTGGTTAATTGAATTAATTAATGGTTGGAAAGTGGTCTAAACAACTATTAATTAACAATAGATTAGTGAGTGGGGATCAGCTCCTTCAAAGGCTTTAAATGTATAGATTAATTTTCACAACCATTTACTTACATATTAGCTAATATTTTCATCAAATACGTTGAAAATCATGAATGAAATTATCAATTATTACATTTAATACAAAATTATTACTATAAATAATATATTAACTGATCTTGAAAATTGTTCATTGAGTGGCAGAACTACTTTTGATGGTTTAACATTTTTTCACCGATAGGGTATTGATACACTAGATGGAGCAGCAGTCTATAGGTAGCTAATTTAAGTAGTTTTGGGTAACACCAAAACTTAATTTCTAGGCAATTCAATTTATGATTCCCCTAAATGTCAAATCTCTATCAAAATCAAAGGGAAAAAAATCATAAAAAAAAAACCAGTTGCCAGCTCAAAAACACAATTTTAACTGACACAAATTCTATAAACATGGAAAATGAGTTGGGACATTAGATAGTTGTAAACCTGATTCATTAAAGGCAAGGCAAGAGCTCACCGATTTTATTTCCATACGAGGTATAGCTCATTGAAATTGAAGTATCCAGCTAAGCTTCCATGATCCTAATATAACAAAAAGTAGCTTGTATTGTGGCGCACTGATCACTTCCTTTTAGGTTCTATCTGTCTTCTTCTGCAACACTTAGCAGGTAAATTGACAAATTAATATTAATCCACTTATATTTGCGCAATTTGGGTCCCTGTCTTTTTAATCTGGCTTCCAAAACATTACCACCTTTCCATGGTAGCTAGTTTGGCATGGCCTGGACTTTTCCAGGTTACAATCTTAATCCTGTTTCTGGAAATGTGATTGGAGTAGGGACAACTAAGAACCATTTCGAACTTGACAACTTGTGGACTATGAGAGACGTTTGATCTTCATCAAAAGGTAAAGGATGGGCCCTTTTCGTGCAATAATGGTAGGTGGATGACGATGGCCTGTCTCCGAACCAGCACCAACTATTCTTTACCTTTTACCATGGCCTCTTTTACTTTCCATTGCTCTTTATTGTACAAGACAAACTCTCTTTGTCCTCGTCTTGCTACGACTGGGACCTGGAGTTGGTTTCTAGACGTGTGTTTCAAATATGACCTGCACTGGATAAAAAGCCATTGAATTGATGTTTCCTTCCAATATTTTTTTCGGGTATTATGTGTATCTCAAATCAAGAAATTTGTTTATTGTTTTTAATTATGTTGTTCGGATTTTTCTTCTTTTTTTTTTTTAATTGTATTTGTTACGTATTTGACAAAAGTGACTATGAAAGTTTGATACGTAAGTTTCAACGAAGGCTAATAAGAAATGGCAAAAATGACGAGAAACTAATGTTACAAATGGGGTTAAGAAATTAGTCTCAGTTATGTAGGATGAAGTGATAAAAATGCTGATAACCTTCATTTCATTGTCAAAAACCAAGCCATCCTATCAAAGGAAACAATGACTCATGACTGGTTAAATCCTTATGAAAACCAAGTTGATTTGAATGAAAGAAGCTTATCTATGTTCTATAAGCTATTTCACTGATCCTTGAAATCTAAGCAAAATAAAGCAATGCTATGCTTTTAAGTGAGATAATGGTATCATTCTTTGCCAATTTTGCTTGCTCTCATCTACCAAAGTCTTTTACCCTTTTCCCTTTTTTGTTTTTTTTTTTTTTGGTTCTCTAAAGAGAGATGAAAATACTTAAGATTTAAGCATTGGATATATACATTTTTGTTTCATTTAGCCCCCCAAAAAGGCACTTACATGGCTTTAACTAGCTAGTTAGTAGTTACACAAGTTTAGCACGATGAAATAGAAGATTTACCTTATCATCAGATTAAAATCTACTGACTTTAATCAGCCAAAAATACCCAACTATTTTTTTATTTTTAGCAAAACAACGGTGTTGTAAGATTAAAAGGTAGAAAAGTTTAAATTGAATTTTGTGTAATAATGACATGTTTTGTTGTTAAAATGCTGATTCTTAATTTTAATAGTGATCAGGTTTTTACATTTCATAATATCAAGTATAAAAAAAAATAAATTGAGTTTTCTACCAAAGATTACCGAACCCCAAATGGCTGAAACAGGAAAAGATGAAATTGATACAACCAATGACATTTCACTGCGAAATGAACGCACCAATCAATTCCATGAGCATGCAGCTGCTTATCACCAACGTAAGATATTAGGACAAACTCATCCCACTATCGAGCCGAAATCCATAATTTAACCCCGAAAAACGGACCTATAAAGTAACTTAATTATGCAAATTAAGTGGGGTCAAAAAGAGTTGGCTTGACCTAGAATTCCTGACTGCTCACCTGTCCTCGCCCCCACCTAGCCGCTTAGGGCAGAAACTTATTATTCATCATCAATGTGTCCCACTCATCCCATCACCACTAATATCCTGCCACGTATGGCTATAGTTGTAATTTATCCATTGATACTCCTTAGTAGATTATGAGACAAAGAAATGGGTGTAGAGAATCAAAGCCAAGTTGAAGAGCTTTTCTATATAGACCACGTCCTTACATAGGACCCTCACCAGTTCTATCTGGTTTTCTGCCACTATTTATTGTCTGGAACAGAAATTTCTCTCCCAAATCTTCTTCTTCTTCTTCTTTGCTTTTCTCTGCTTGCTTGTTTTTTTCTAGGTGTTTTCTTTCAAGAACTGGCTAACGCACAGGAAAAAATTCTGGAGGAAACCAACAAGAACCAAGACGTGGTTCTTGCCCTCTATGAGGCGTTAAAGACTCGAGACGTTGAAACTGTTCATCAAATCCTTGCTCCTGACCTTGAGTGGTGGTTCCATGGGCCCCCAACCCACCAGTTTTTGATGCGCCTTCTCACTGGAGCTTCATCAGACGATTCTTTCCATTTTGAGGTTCATCCTCTTTCACTCACCACCTTTGGGTCCACCGTTATTGTTGAAGGCTGTGATCACAACCGTTCCATCTCTTGGGTTCACGCTTGGACTGTTACTGATGGGATAATTACCCAAGTGAGGGAGTATTTCAACACTTCTCTCATTGTTACTCGCCTTGGAAACTCTAGCCAATCTCCACCGTCCGACTACAATTCACCATCATCATCATCTACTTCTTCATCGACGGCTGAGTTTACCCCAGTACATTGCCCTTCCGTCTGGGAGAGCAGCTTTTCCAACAGGGTTGGAAAATCAGTGCCGGGTCTTGTCCTGGCAATTTAGTGATCATTAACTTCAATATCCGCATGATCAGGTGCAGCTGTGAGTACGCCAATATAAAAAAAATAATAATAAGAGGGTGCTTGCGTGTCAGCTCCTTGGTGTCCTACTGGCTGATGGGCCGAAATAGTGTCATAAGTTAGGACAAAGAGATCAGAGATGTGAGTTCCTAACTAAAGGTCCTGTTTGTTTCCACTGTGTTTTTACTATCTTGCTTGTTTGGGATTGTGAATTTGTATCGTGTTTCTTTTCCAATGTATTTGTCAGATTGTTTGCAGATTTCTGGGTCCAACCTGGGAAGACCCACTGCACCTTCTTTCCCCTTTACTCTCTATGATGTAAACTATTTCCATTATGCGATAAAAGTGGGTTTTTTATTATTATTATTATTATTATTATTTGTTTATATCCCAGCATTTGGTTTATACATATATATATTTTATCAGTTGAAGAATCGGTTTGAATCCCTTTCTTGAATAAAAAACAAATAAATAAATAATTGAATAAAAAATTAATTAATTAATTAATAGGACGGTTGCATCTTAATTCAATTTTGATTGCGCATGTTCAAAGATAAGTATTAATGATTTGAATTCACTTCTCATTTTTCCAACCAAACATAAGAAATTCAATGAAAGGGATAAGGCGGAATTTGGACCATTTTTTATTCTTTTTTGCAGCAGGCATTTCCCCTCTTAACAAGCTGTAAATGTGTCTTTATCTTTGACCTCATTAATTAATTACTCATTTATTAATTACTCGTTTATGATGAAAGTCTTTTATTTTGGCTATTTCTTAGCGAGGAGAATCCACCTGCTCTAGTTGGTGACAAATTTCTGATGTGATAGACTATTTTGGCTGCCGAAATCATCTAGTAACGTAAAATAATAAATAGATTTAGGTTTAGCCTGGTGAAAGTAGTTTTTTATTCAAAAATTGCTTTTGATTTAATCTTAATGTTAAATAATAAAAATTTTGGTTTTTAGTTTAAAAGCTTGATTTTATAATCCAAACCAAAATATTATTTAAGTATTTTGCACTAAAAAAGTATTTTAGGATAAAAAATTATTATATTATCTTATAATTTTAATATTTTAATATTTTATACATATATTTTTAAATATTTTATTACTCACAACATTTTTTAATACAATCGAACAATTACTACAATAAGAGACTGAACAATATTTGCACAAATATGTTAATCGGAAGCATCTAGATGCAGCTGTTATAACTTTGGTTGATGGATTTCAACACACACACACATATATATATATATATATATATATAGCCCACTCCTATAACAATAATAACAAATAAAAATTAGTTATTAATTTTATAAACATTAAGTAATGAGAATAAATCACAAGCATCAGTGTGATTGAACTTATTATCTATTCATGTCAGATACTCGTTACAATATAAGTCTTGAAACTCCTAAGGATAGAAGTATCCATCAACTCTTTGAAAAAAGACTCAATTAGCTCGTGAGCACATCTACACCTATCATTATGCTATTAGGTGGGAGATCTATCCTTAAGAACCGACGCTGAAACGTCAATCGACTCATCTACATGCTCTTAAACTCATCATCTATTCTCAGAGGTAGTCGGATGTGTCAAGTGTTAGGTGCAATGTGTTCCCACCTCTATAGAGGTCTAGTGTTCGGTACAATGCGTTCCCACCTCTAAACGCCACTTTTTCTCGTTCGTGCTATATATGTTGTTACATAAAGCAATGGTCAACATTTTGTCTCTCAAAACAAATATGCAAAATAATCTCAACATTTAATTCATTTTATGGTGATATTGATTTGCACATTGCTATTGGTATTGAATTTGAAATTTATTATAATTTTCATATTTGCATATCTAAAAATTTTTAAAAACGTTTGATTATGCAAATTCAAAATTTTTAAAAATTTTTGAATGTAAATATTCTTCAAAGTTTTTTGAACGTTTTTGAATATATAAATTTGAAAACTTTTAAAAATTTTTAGATTTGTATTCCAAAAACTTTTAAAAGTTTTTGTATTTACATATTCAAAAACTTTTAAATATTTTAAAATTTGCATATTTGGAAGCTATTAAAAATTTTTTTAATATGCAAATCTAAGAATATGTAAAATTATAAAGAAAACAATTTCTTAGCTCACGATTTTACCAAAAAAATGCATATTACAAATAATAAAACCTAAACAATATTCAAACATCATAAATAAATCACCTTTATATCGGAATGAATGAATTGAAACTGTTATTTTGTTTGAAAAGTTAGACAATTTCAAGATGAGAATCGAATAAAGAGAGGAAAAAAATTGATTTTAGGGTTTATGCAGACAAAAATGAGGATAATGAAAGAATTGAAATGTTACAAGTGTGGGGTGTAAAGAATAGTAATAAATTTTCTAGGTTTAAATTTTGGGTATTATTAATATCAATGTATTGAGTAAAAATTTGGTCCAAATAGAAACGCTATTTTTTGTAGCCATCGAGAGAAAGGTATAAAAGCCGAAACGAAACGCACGTAAAAAAAGGAAGAAAGAAAAAAAAGGGAGGACTTACTTTAGGGATAGGTAAATCATTCTGCAAGGAAATAGGGAATCTCAGACAAGGAAGGGAACAGTCAGTGCTTTGTCTTGGGACTTTATAATTATGTGATGATTATAAATACACGTGTACGATGTGGCGGGATCTTACAGCTCATCAAATTCAGCCATGCTTTGATGGAAAAGGACTTGAGAGGTTCTTGAACCGTCTGATCTTTGGACTGTATTATTACAGGCAATTTATATCACATCACATGGAATCAGTGACCAATGTGACAAATATTCTGATTTTCGTTTGATTTGTTGAATGATGAAACCCAGAGAATCTATTTTTTATAATAATTAATGTTAATTTATCAAAAAAAAAAAAAAAGAATGTTTCCCACCAATTCAACATTTTTTACTTGTATAATCCATTTTTTCATTGTCAACAACAATCCCTTTTGTTTTATTGATCAAATGATAGATTTTTAGTTCAAGAGATTATGGTTATTTTTCACAGTTTTAAATATATATAAAAATAGTGGTTTATATATAATCCTAATGCATCCATTTGAAAATGACAAAGAATGGTTGATAAGTTTAATTTGTTTGATTTTAGATTTTCTAGTCATTAGTTTATACTTTATACAATAAAAAAAAAAAAAACACAGAGGAATTTTCCATGATAGCCAATTTTCAATTTGATATCGACATGGAGATGACCAATTTGTTTTTGTCTTCCCATTCTTTAAATAAATTCATGAATTTGAAAGAATCTGTTATTTTAACTTACTTGAAAGAGAATGCAAATGTTTTTTTTTTTTGGTGAAAAGAATAAAAGTGGTAATAAATAATTAGTATTATTGTTGTTCTATGCTTTTTTGGATCAATTGTTAGTATTATTATATTTTTTTTTATCCAAGTTAGTATTATTGTTTAATTAGTGTAATATTTCATTTTTAAACTAAAATTTGATCTTTGAAACCAATAGTATAAGAGTAAAATTCTAAACATATCAGATTGATATGAGGTAATATGCTCTATGATTGCTTGTAAAAAGAATTAGGTTTTGAAAAAAATTTGTCGATACTCCTAACCGTATTTTTTTTTAAATAAAAAATATATTATTTTGTTGTTGTTATTTTCAACTGATGGTTAGTTCACAAGAATAATGCTCACGAGTTGTGGTATATTCTTGACCTTTTATGGCCTTATTGTATTTAATTAATTCAAAGAGAGGGAAAAAAAAAAGAAGGAATGCTCGTTAATTAATAATTATAGTTAAGGATCTCAACTGGAACTTATTCTAGTTATATTTGTAAGAATTTCCTTAAACTGTTGTACCAAAGTTCACATGTTTATATCAAACAAAATAAAGCATAAAACAGGAAATATGCTTTAAAGAAGGAGACGGGGAATGTTGGCCCAAGCTTATGGTATATTCATTGAACAATTGAACAAACAATTCCCTCCAAATTACCCCCCCCCCCCACCCTAAAAAAAAAAGGAAAGAAAAAGAAAGCATATGATTCCTATATGCATACCCCAAATATGCCATCCCTTTTGCCTCAACAACTAAATTTGTTTATTTTATTGTCAACTTCTTTTTCAACATGATGGTTTTTAATTAAAAAAAAAAAAGATTGCATAGCTCAAAATCCATTGAATTTGTCAATTATCATACAAATTATTCATTAAATTCAATATATAATATAATTCAAATATATATATAATAATTGACAAGCATTCTTATAGGTATATTATGCATATTAAAAAATAAATTAATTAATAGAAATTTAAATTTTTTACAGGTTATAGAAATAAATAAATACATATGATTTTATTTTGATAAGGGAATAATTGAAGGAAGGGAATTTATAAGTGGTGTGGATTAGTAAAGATTCTTACCTTATCCATAATCTGTAAATTTTTTTTATCAAATATACTTTGATTTGAGATATTTTGGGGTGACCTTTTCATATTTGGTTCCTTTGCTTCCACTTTCGTTTGAACAAAAGTGGGGAAATTATCTTCTCCTGATCATTTTCTTTCATACTGTTAAATCAATAGAATCTTGTCATAATTCACCAAAATAAAAATTAAAAAAATCAGCCATCTACTTTAATGGACTGTTGTAAGAAAAAAAGACAGCAAAAAAAATTGATCGATAACAACATTAATATTTGAAATATCATCAGCACTAAATTTTACATAGACCTGCCCAAAGGCTTGAATCAAGCTTTGGAAACAGATTTTGGACTTCAAATCCCGCTTGGCTTGGGATAACATTTAATCAATAAAATTGATTTTTATTTAATTTTAATTTTATAACTATTAAAATATTAATATTTTAATATATTTGTAATAATTCAGGCTTATCGGAAAAAATTCGAGCTTGAGCAAGAAAATTTTCAAAAATCAATCGAATCCGATCCATGAACAAATATAATTTTATATATGATTAGAATAATTGTAAGAGAAAATTTTGTTGTTTTTCCATCCTCATTAATTATTAATATTGTTGTGTGTATGAATCTTCTGTCATTTGAAATATGTTAATTGTGGAAGTTAGATTTAAAAAAATTTTAAAAAAAATTCTTGTACGTAATGAATTAGCTAGAATTTCTTGATTAGTTATTATCTCATCTCTACACGTAGAATGAATAAACCTTAATTACCGTGGTTTGATTAATTTGGAGCTTGTTGGCAATCCTTGTCATTCAAGGTTGTAATAATAAGAAGTTATCGAATACTACTTACAAGATTGGTCAAGGAAAATATGGAGAAACTGTTGGAATTAAATAAATTATAGAGTTGAAAGTCCAATCAGAAGTTGGGATGGTAATTGAGGATTTCAATGACTAAACCATAAAATTGGGATTTTCGACAGATTATGATGAAAATTTATCTTTTTGAATTAAATTTTTTGGATTTATTTAAATAAATTTACCTACATAATAATTATATTACAGATGAAATTTTATGTTAGCAATTATTTATAAAACTGTAAAATTACTGATGAAATGTTATTATTGATTTTTTATATATAATAATTTTTATCAATAAATTATATTAATAAATGTTTTATCACAAAAATTAATCTTATATCGATAAAATTTTTTTATGGGTGATATCTTGATTTCTGATAATGAAATCCCTATTAATGGACATATAGACGACACATAGGTTTTGAAATTTCTTGTCATTAACTTAGAATTCTTATCTTGATTTCTGATAATGAAATCCCTATTAATGGACATATAGACGGCACATAGGTTTTGAAATTTCTTGTCATTAACTTAGAATTCTTATTTTTGAATTGACAAATTGTACTCGTTTTGACAGTGGAAGTAACCTTTTTTTATTATTATTTTCCTAATGAATAAAACATGTACAACTGTTTAACCATGGAATTCAATTGCATATTCCTCATATAAGTACAACTTGAGTTGCTTACTCTTTTACTACATGCTTAGTTTGATGGTCCTAAAAAACTAGCCTTCAATGTTATATTGGTTGTGTATTAGAATTAGAGTTGGTATATAATTGTTCACAATATCTTTAATATGTGAAATTTCTTATCAGATAAAATCGGTCAAAATGTATAATAATTTTCAAGTGAGCATGAAACAAGACACGAAGCCAATGCCACTTGTATTTACTCTTAAACACAAAAGGCAGTTTTGCAATGGGATGAAAACAAAAAGGGTTCGGAAGCTGATACTGAATGCAATAAGCCAGTAGGCAGTAATTGAATCAAGTGCAGGAGAAGAATCTGACAAAGCACAAGTTGAGAATGTTCATTTTAAGCACTAAAGTGAACTTATTCTCTGGTGTCAGATTAGAATTTGAAACGCATATTTGTGGCCACTAGCTTGGTCCCAGGCCCCAATTAAAGCATGCGTCTGCCATTTTGCTTTCTAGTTCCAAAGGAATCATAGTAGCCCAAAGACGTTAGTCCAATCCATATGTAAATTGCCTGTGGAGTTGTGGTGCGGAACTGTTGCTAGAGAACTAAATAAAAGGGGGACAAAAATGTTCTTAATCTAATAAATTTCATTTATGGGTCCTTTCCTGGTCGATTGATTGAAAATGGCAACTTCTGTGCTTAAAACTTGACATATCAGTAAAGCAGGGTCATAGATGGGCTATGCTTGCATCATTTTATTGATCGAATCGGCAAAGGGGTTATAAGATATTTTTGAGTTCCTGTTGCTTATTTAGACGAGCTTGATGGGATTTTTTTATACATGAGGTTATTAAAGAACGAGTCTGGTCATTAGAAAAGTCAAACATTTTATCAACAGAAAAAAATCTAGTCCAATTTACTGAGTCCTAGATGTTGGCCTGTTGAGATTTTCAATATATCAACCAAATCAAAGTTGATGAAGCAAACAAAAGATTCAACCCCAAATGAGGGAAAAAAGACAAAAAAAGGGAAATAATAAAAATGCATTCTAGATTTGTGTAACCTGTCAGGATTCAGGAATATTATACACTTCAATTTTAAGGTTGATTACTTGATTCCCATTTTTTTTATGCAATAAGCAGAAGAGAATTCATGCAAGCTTTGGAGGAATTAAAAAAAAAAAAAAAAAAAAAGCCTCTTTGGATTGAGGATTATGCATTGTCATTCTCGTGCATAATCACTACTAAAGCTGCAATGAAGGCATAGTCCACCTCTGGATACACTTTTACCTTGAAACTTTCTTTGCCCTTGCAGCTTCCCCATGTGAAATTGTGGCTAACCTGTATTTTCATAAAATTGTAACATTGGGTTATCTCTTTTAACATTTCCAGGAATATTTCTGAAGTGATTCTGCTAATTCCAGTACCAAATCAGACGCATTTGACAACAGAAATTGAATTGAACCCACAAAACAGAAACAGCTTTTTATACCTCTGCAATGATTGAATTGCCTTTCCGAACTTTGAAAGAAAGGGATGCAAAACTTCCAGTTACACGAAAATCACGACCATCTTCCTTGTACCTGTTTGCTAAGTAAACATCAAGATTGTTTTTGATGTGGAGAGCACTGGATCGTTGCACGCTGCAGACAAAATGCTTCTTTTCAGAGCTTTCACCTTGATGAATTAACCATTGCTGTTTCCAGGATAATGCCTGCTGAAATTCCAATGCTCCTAACTTCATTGCACAAAAATTTTTAACGCCGAAAAATCTGATCAGGAAAATGCTTTGCATACCTTTTCGCGTAGCGTGATGACAGGCAAACCAGCAGGATCTTTCATGACCCTTTTCTTATGGAAGTTCCAGACACCTCCATCCACTTGAAGGAGAACATTTCCGGTAGTATCAATCACATCATAGTGCGCATTAGATAATGATTGTATTTTCCTCTTGACAAGAAGCTCCATCGTGTAAGGGACACAAAATCGATCCCCCACAACCTTGATGATCTGATCATCACTTGCCATGTTCTGAATCTATTGGCAAACGATTCACTATTGATTGATCCTCCTGATATCCTATGGTAAACTGAAAGAAAACACTTCAGGCCGCTGGAGGCTGCAATTTCCTGGAAATGAAGCTATTTGAATATGGGGAACTCGGTAACAATATCAGTTCAGGTTTTTGACTCTATTTTAAAACTAAGTACGCTACATCATTCATCAGCAAATATGCAATAAAATGCTAGCCATACGTTTTTTACCTTTTTTTTTTTTTTGGCAAAAGATTCAAATTAGAGTACTTATCCTTGACGTAAAATAATTGTAGTCGTTTTGCAAGAGAAGAAGAAGAAAAGCAGAGGGAAACAGAATTAAACTATGGAAAAGATGTACTATACGCTAAACATCTGTATAGAGATAGCTTTTAAAACTTTTTGCCTCAGAATTTAAAATGAAATTTTAGCATTAGGGACCTTGACAACATCAATAAAAATGTCATTATTACATTGACCTCATTGATTAAAAACTTGAAAAGTAATCCCATTGAATTGTTTTATTTCATATAGTGGATCTAGAATTTCAAGTTAGGGGTCAAATTAAATAATAATTGTAATTTAAACATTTTTACTTAGCATATAATATGTTATTATTTTATCCAAAGTTATAAAAATTTTAAGTAAAATATGATATTTTATAATGTAATCATAAAGAACTTATACATAAAAAATTTATTGAAATAAAAAAATATAACTATTTAACAAATACATTTATTTTTTGATGAAAACAAAACTATAGTATTAATACTTTTTACATATTAATTGGAATTTGAGAATTGAATTTTTTTTGCCTTAAAAGCTTTTTTTTTTAAAATTACAAGTACAAATTATAATTATAATTAAGTATTACATAATTGAATAATCAAAAAAATAAATTAATCAACAATTAGAGTATAACTAAATGAATTCAACATAAATTTGAAACTTGAATCTAAAATTTCAAAATTCTAAACATTTATAATTGCAAAGAAAAACTATTTTTTTTTAGGAAAGTGAATTTTTAATTTTTAAAAAGATCACTTATAAATTATATAAATTATATAAATTATATCAATATATATTATATATTAATAGGGCTTGAAAAATCTTTGGGCGGGCCATTACCCCTCTGGTCTCAGTTTGGCTCCGCTAGTGCTTTCATAAATTGACCCTTTTGTAATGTGGAAAATGTTGGTTTGTGATATTGAACCCCAGGTTCATATTTATCAAAATTTGCCAAGCATAAAATCTCAGAATCTAATTGACAAGCTGAAAAAAGATATATATATATATATATATATATATACAAACTAAACAATAACATACCTTTAATAAAGAACTGGATTTTGAACCTCACATAAATCCATGAATGCAGGATAATCTGAGCTCCAACTATTGAATGAAACTCAGGAAAAATGATGAAGGTGGGGGAAGGGAAAATTGGGAGAAGTAAATTTACCTTTTGTATAAAACAAACAAAATTCTGTTACCTGTTCTGTTATGATTTTGAAGAACAAATTATTCTTAATGACAGCTAAAGATTCTAACTTTGAGTATCTAAATTTAAGAATTTAACAGAAGTGATTGATTGTTTTTCCTAACAAACATTGGTTTTTTTTTTTTTAAACCAAATTTTCTACACATTTAAAATGTTTAAACCACTTAATCAAATTAATAAGGTCATAGCTAATTGGATTTTTTTTTTAAGGAAAAAGATAAATACAAGTTAAATTTTAAAAATTTTATCCTGATTTCCTGCATCCATTTTGAGGATATTGTTTTCTTCCTTTAAATCTTTGTGCACAATTTTATTCCTTTCATCTCATGATTTTGATATTTTTAAATCTGAATTTAAGCTAAATGATTTCTCACAAAATTAAGGTTCCATCTGTAACATTTATGATTCTTCTTACTTTAATTTTATAGGCTTCAACCTCCCTACTTGAAAAAAATGTTTGACATTTTCTTGATCATAATATTTTATATAATTAAATAAAATTATTGAAAACAAAAATATTGATAATTTTCAAAAATGAAAATTCTAAACGCTTTTGGTTCTATCACCCTCCAATGTCTCAAGATCCCTGAGAGGTCTCCATCCTTTTTTTTTTCAAATTTTAATGATTAGCTACTAGACTACTCTTCCTTGCTGACTATTTGCTGCTTTATTTCTTGGGTTGTTTCATGTATGGTGCACTTGTTATGAACTTGGGTATCCTGACCATATTAGTTAATCATTTCTTCTGAAACTAGGGGAGTGCTTGGATTGGTAAAGTTTCAAGGAATCGATCTTCTGGTTGGAAAGTTAGCGATAAGAATCCAGGTACTCTCTCTCTCTCTTGCTCTGAAAGTAGGGTCGTCATTGCTTTCACAAATGATCTTTCTTGGGTTTCCTTCGGGTTACAACGCTAGCGACTCTGAGTCTGATGAATTGAAGGGAGATGCAAAATAGGGTCGAACTTGTATTCCTTTCAAAATTATCCATTAATATGTAAGTTGTTTCAAATGATTGGATAACTAACTTCTTGTTTCTGTTTCTCTGTTTCTTGTGTTACGTAAAGAAACACTAATATTTTTTGCATTGATGGAATTATCAGCTATGATCATGATAGTTATCTTGATTTTTATCCATGTTATGGATTTTAATCACCTCTCTTTGTGCCTCACTCAATTAGTTTTAAGTTACTGTTGAGATATCTGAGTACATGTCTATCTCTTTTAATGGTGGAACTTGCATATAGAGTCATGTGGCCTGCATTTTGATGAATTAAATTGGCCAGTGATCCTTCGCAATGACCAGTAAATATTTTCTTTTTGTTTTTCCTCCAGAGAAGAGAAGGAAAAGTCATTAGAAGTTTAAGTTGAGTCCTGTATTGATTTATGGTAATTCAACTGGGAAATTCTGTTGACTGATTGTTAATATGCTTCTTTGCATATGCATTAGGAATATGTAGTTTCTTCAAAATGGCATATCGTTTTGGGTGAATTAGATTTTAAAGTTTCTCCAGCATGAAATAATAATTCATTGTTATTGCAGATAAAAATATAGAACTGGTTGGCATCTTTTCTTTGATTAACAATGAGAACAATGACTATAATTGCAGATGTTGCTGTATTCTGGGTTATGCCTCCTCACTTGCTGCATTTCCTTGCCAATAGAGAGATGATTTCTATTTCTTTCCAGTCCCACTTAATCTTTTTACTGCCATTTGTATCCTTTTTTGGCCATTTCCTTGACATTTTTTTTGTTCCAAGCGTTGCTGTATTAACGATTCATATCATAGGTTTGTTCGAGGGAAGGAGTTTCATTCAAGGGGCATACCTTTCTCTTTTTAATCAATTTTGGTATTTGGTGGATTGCAACAATATTAATGGATTGTTCGTAAATGACCCTCAATGATTTTGCTTGGTCAAAAAATATCTTTGAAATCTATGCTATTTACTGGAAATTTTACATGGAGCAGTGGTCCTACTACATGCTTTGGTTCGGCCAACATGAATTTGCCATTCAGTCTTTCGGTGATCATGAGCTGCCAAATAGTTGTGTATTCTTGATAACTAAGCTTTAAATAAAATTGTTCATTTATATGATTCAGCACGCTATATTATGGTACAATGCTCCCTTGAAGATCTATTTTAGTTGCACTGCTTGTTTCAAAAACACATACAAAGAGAACAAAGATAGAACTCCCTCAGACGGGAAGAGAGAAGAGAACAATTATGACACTTACATGCTTTGGTTCCACAAAAAAACATATGACTTTCAGGTGATCTTGTGCTGTACACTGCCAACTGCTGTCATATAAAACAACCAAGTAGCTAATCACGTCTCAGGATGTTTTGGTTAAATAAGGACAATGTTTTCTACCTTCTCGTCTGTCCTTCCTCCATTCCCATGGCTTCTCAGGGTTCGATGATGCCCAAAGGCCGATTCGCTTTGCCCGAGCCTCTCTTTCCCACTATAATTGCACACGTACAAAGATCATAATCGGGTGTCTTTAACTCAAACAAGTGCAAGAATGAACAAGAATTATTGTTGTTTACTTACAGTTGCAAGTTCAATGCGTTGGTCATATGCTGCATAATGCCATGCAAGTCCTTTCTTTAGCATTACTTCCTATTTGACAGAGAGATTAGCGGATTAATTTGTTCTTACCAGGTAAACCAAATGCAAGCTAATAAAATCGTATACCTACCTGCACAAATATGCCATCACAGTATACGTCTGCCACGCAGCGACCGTAACGATCTTCCCCATAGACGAGCACTCTCAAACACTTGCCATGAACAAGATTAATCAACTCTTGTTTGGCTTCTTCTCCATACGGCATAGAATTCTCTGGTGCGTCTATACCTCTATTTACTTTCAATAGCCATCAGGTCTTTTAAGTCTAGAAAATGTAACATTGAAATGCCACAAGAAGATAATGTTACCTTAGTCGAATGCGATACTTTCGAGCAAGGATCTGTTCATTTTGAAGATTTATGACCCTGGAGATAGATGACTATTAGAAACCATTGGTCTTGATTCTCTTGAATGACAGACAGTTGGCAGTACAAAAAATCTAAGAATTGAATGGAAAAGATTTGAGTAAGGGAAGTTAAATATCTAACTGGTATCCTGATTCAATAATTTTCTGGCGAAGTTCATCTGCTTTGTCATAATTCTTCTTAGCACGTGCTTTAGATCTTTGGTCTGCAGCAATAAGAACATCTCTAGGTACGATTGATGACTCCCTGGGATCAACAGTACTCACATACACATTTATACCATCCCCATCTGGTACCGTGTTCCCATCTACCTGATTAAGTTAGAGAAATTTTCAGTATCAAATCCACTAGTTCTGAATCTTGTTGACATAGGTCATCCTTACTGGTAGTGTATGCATTTCAAACAGCACTGGTTCAGGCAATCTTGTTCGCATTCTAGGATAAATTCCCACATTGATAGAAGGATTTGGAAGGCCATAGAATTCCAGCAAGCCCTAATGAGCACATTAGAATACAGAACATCCACAATGCATTAATGTTTTTTCTTCTATTCAGATAAAAATGGAACAAGCACAAAGTTTTGAGACTTTTGGTCCTTTTTTGTACCTCAACATCTGCCTTTTGATGTCTATTCAAGGTCTCAATAACAAGCATAGCAACCATTTCAGGCGTTTTTGGTGGTGGTTTTGCTTCTCTCCATGCCTGTAGTAGCTTTCCATACCTTAATGTATTCTCAAAATTTAGACAGACAACAAAAGCAGACAGTGTAAGTCAACCAGATTATTGTTGATCATCACCTAGGAAATTTAGCCAATTATTTTGAAGTTTTAGTTTCTTCTAAAGATGATTCAATTAGACACAGTTCATTGATGGTCTGTTAGTTACCAGTTAGCCTGAGCTTTCCTTGATGATACAACATGCTGACTGAGACCTTCAGGAACCTGAAAACCAGTTTATAATTTAAGGAACTAATGATTAAAATTTGACAAACAGATATTATTTTCAGCTCAAAAAGACAAGTAAAGAAAATACACAAAATAACCATTAAAAAGAACAATTATTGTAAGCCAACAGTATCAAGTTGAACAAGAAAAGAGGCTTGGATTGCAGGAATGACCATGAAATCTACCTGGGAGGTGATTTCAAAATTGAAGAGATCATGGGCAAAAGCTGAAACCCCAGAAACGGTTGGTCTATAAGGGGGTTCTAGTGAATCAGAATCCCCAGTGGCAGTGGTGGTTTTGCTACATTTTACAAATAGGAACCTAAGAGCATTTCCCATATTGGTATCGTCTGATCAACCTAGACTTTTGCAGTAGCTGAGATACTGAGGACTGGGGGACCGAGGAGAAGAGAAGGCTCCAAGAAAAGCGAATGAAGACTTCCTGTGGACGTGTACCTTTTATAGTCAAAGCAGCCTACTGGATTTTATCCATATTCCCGTTGGTATTGCACTTCTTACATTTTTAGCATCCATTTGATGGCAGTGAAATTAATTTTAATAAGATTAAAAATAAATGGGATTGGTTTTTGTAATAGGAAGCTTAATTATTGTAAGAATGAGTTTAAAATTAATGATGTATGTATTTAAATATAAAAATAATTATGATGATGAAATGAAATATAGTGAAAAAATATATAATAATATAAAAGTTTAATAATAAATTATATATTTTTAAAGTTTTTAACATTTAAAATCTTAAAAAATTAAATTAAATTATTGATAAATATTAAATTGTATTAAAATAATAATTAAAATTTTAAATATTAAAAATTATAAGATTTATTTAAAATATTTTATATTAAAAAAATAATAGTTACAACAATTAAACCATTTGAAATAATTATTTAATATACTAATGTAAACTAATTATTCCAGTATATATTTTCGTTATTTTAGCATTTATTTTGGGGTACTTTAGGATTTAACAAAAATATATGATGACAATTGTGATTTTTAAACTTTATTTTGGTACAAATAGTCAACTTGAACCTTAAATAGTACGCGTGGTGCCATTAATTCACTTTCACCGGTCAACAAAACACAGAACTTTTGCGAATGATGCAATTGCACCTCATCACTTCTTACTGGTCATCCATATGCATCCAAATGGAGCCTTCGGGTATTTTATTAGAATCCTTGTCAGTTGTCACCACACGGTATTTATAGTTCTTCTGATTTTTTTTGTTCTTCAACTAATTTTCTCCAAGGAGAGGACCAAATTTTTGCTGTGTAAGTCGAATGTAGAATATATTGATCTCTCTTTGAGATGATTTTGGTAATTTCTTCAAGCATCCTGGCAAATCCTTAGGTTTGCCTTTTGGATGCCTTTGAACTGATCAATTCTATAAGGTGAACTTTACTAATTGATGCTGAAAAGTCCAATAGATTTGTAAAGATCAGATTGATAGAAAACAAATGTTACAACACTTTCTTATATTGTCTGAACAAATGATAAAAATTACAACACTTTCTAAAATCAGAATAATATATCAATCATGGTTTAACTAGTTTGCAGAGTTTCCTTTCCTGTTCCTCTATTCTGCCATCAAACCCTGCTCTTGGATGTAAGTTAGGGCAGCCATTTTTGTTTATGCTGGTGCCGAATGGTGTATTCCAACTATAAGGAAATTGCAATTCTTTAGATGGTCACTTCTTTCAGGACAATGTCACCTGCCTTCTCGTTTGTCCTTTCTCCATTCCCATGGCTTCTCAGGATTTGATGAAGCCCACAAACCAACTCGTTTTGCTCGAGCCTCTTTCTCCCACTAGTTTTTATACAAGTACAAATGTTTTAAGTTTTAAGAATTTGACAGTTTTAAGTTTTAACAGAAAGAACTGCAAGAATGAATAACTGTTGGTTACTCACAGTTGCAAGTTCTATGCGTTGATCATAAGCTGAGTAATGCCATGCAAGCCCCTTTTTTAGCATTATTTCCTGTTTGACAGAGAAATTAGAAAAACTAATTGGTTCTTATGAGGTAAGCTAGGGGAATGCTAAGTAATACCTGTACAAATTTTCCATTGCAATATATATCACCAACACAGCGGCCATAACGATCTTCCCCGTAGACAAGAACTCTTAAACATTTCCCTCCAACAAGCTTAGCCAACTCTTCTTTAGCTTCTTTGCCATATTGCATTGAACTCTCCGGTGCATCTATACCCCTATTTACATTCAATAATTCATTAATTATATGTCATTATAGAAGAGATTTAGCTTATAGAACAATAGAATTCAAGAAACAAATAATGTTACCTTAACCGGATGCGATACTTTCGAGCAAGGATCTCCTGATTCTGAAGATTTAAGACCCTGGAATAATTAAGAAGCTAGACTATTAGTAGCCATTAATTTTAAAAGATAATAGGAAGCACCAATCCAGAAAATTCATGAAACGAATTTGATCATTTAGGGGAAATTAGATAGCTAAACCTGTATCCTGCATCAGTAATTTTCTTGTGAAGTGCATCTGCTTTTGTATAATTCTGCTCGGCACGTGCCTTTGATCTTTGTACAGCTGCTAGTTGGACCTCTCTAGGTACGTTTGATGACTCCCTGGGATCTGTAGTACTTACATACACTGTTATGGTATCTCCATCTGCTACTGCTTTCACATCCACCTAATTTAATCATAGTGTTTTTCAGTTTTGAATCCATTATCCAAGTTACTTCAATGAGTGATAATTTGAAGTTTCCAGGAGACAGTCGTTACCGGTAAAGTTTGCAATTCATAGTTAACTCCTTCAGGCAATGACGTAGGGGCGGTAGCAGAAGGCTGCTGGACAAGCGTATGAGGAAGAGGAAGACCATAGAATACCAATAGTCCCTACAAACATTCAAATATAGAACAATCGGACAATGCATTAATTTCCTGTTATTTTATTCTAACCAATTTGTAAACAATCTCCATATGTTTTAAGATTAATGCCGTTGCTTCTTTTTACCTCAACATCTGCCTTTTGATGTCTCTTTAAGGTCTGAATGACAAACCTTGAAGCCTCATCAGGTGTTTTTGGTGGTGGTTTTGCTTCTCCCCAAGCCTCTAGTAGCTTTCTATACCTTCATTACTTGTCAAACTTTAGACAGACCAGAAAATTAAGCGAAAAAAAAAATCATATAATTATTGTTCATAGCACATGAAATTAATTAATAATTACCAGTTAGCCTGAGCCTTCTTGGATGAAACTACATGCTTACTTAGCCCTTCAGGAACCTAAAATAAGTTGGCAAAACCAACCCAGATTTTTCTTTTAGAAGAAATAGCCCAACAAATACTCTAACCAAGCCAATCTCAATTTCTAGTTGTCACTATAACCATTAAAATTCACTGTAAGCTAACAAAAAGGAATTAGAGAAACCAGGCTTGAATTATAGCAGTAATGCTCAAGAAACATACCTGGGAGGTGATTTCAAACTGAAAGAGATCATGGGCAAGAGCTGAAACCCCAACATTGGCTGTTGAGACACCGTGGGGGCCTAGTGATCCGGAGTCTCCAGCTGAGGTAGGATTGCAGCAATAGCTGTACAAGAACCTTAGAGCATTCCCCATATTCAAATTCTTTCAGATCTAAAACTTTTTTTTTTTTCTTTTAAGGTAGAAGAGACTTAGAATCAAAGGAAAAGCAAAGCTGAAACAAGAAAAAAAGGTATAGGATTTTGAAGGGAGGGAGGGTGAGGAATATGATGGCTTTGAAAGCAAGATTATAGGGACACGTGGTGAGTTTTGATTGGTGGATAGTGATTAATTGTTCAGCATTTTACAGTGAAGATCTATGAGCCTGGGCGGTTAAACTTGAAAGTCAACGGTTCTTTTAGGCCGTATGTTGTCACTTGTAACAAGAGTTTGCGTGCGTTATATGGCTTGTTGGAATGCCCGGTATGTGCTAAATGTGTATTTTATGTTTTTTTTTTTCCTAAAGAAATAGGAAAATCCAGGGACATTTTTTGTCACGCCCTAGGCGAATACACAGGAGCCGAGGCTCGAGCACCTGCGGTCAAGGTGTACAAGGGACTGTTACGGGGTTGGCGCAATAAGTATGACAGAAGTGTTCAGATTATTCACACAGTATGCAAACCTACCCACACAGCCAGAACCAAGTTTGCAACATGCCCACCACCGTACTTAGGTAGACCCAAGAGAGTCTAACCAATCCAAAATCTTTCAAAAGCATCCAAGATCGGTATCATTCAATAGAAGGATTTGGTTGATTTTAAAAATCAAGATGAGCTTTATGTAATTTGTGTAATAATATGTAATCTTTGATTTTTAGAAATCTTATAGATCTTTTAATTTTAGTAGATAATCATAAATAGAGTTAAAAACCTCAATTATAAATAGAAGGTCGTTTCACCTTTAGTTGTACATCATCAGACATATTATTATTCAGTAATACATTGTGTATTCTAGCATTCTCTGTGTTTTCTTTAACTTATGTATTTGGCCTTTTCAGTTGTTTGTTTGCCTGCTCATTTAGTTTTTAGGCTGATTTAGACTTAAGAAACACATTCCTAATCTAAAGTCGTACAGATTCTAAGTCAGAGGTCAGAGCCCATGACAATTGGTATTAGAGTAAGTTTTGTGCAAGTTTTGTTCAATGGTGTTCAGATTGCACTTAATGTGTTCACGAAAATAGCATCCCAGAGTGATGTTGCTAGCCAACAAACAAAGGTCCAAGAGCAAGGCAGTGGAAAGGGTAAGAAAGCCAGTTCGAGAGATATCTAGTCTTCCCTAAAAGGTTGTATGGCTAAAGTAAAACTGACAATGGGTGATGTGAAGGAGAAGCTTGATGGGTAAATGCTTATTTCGAGGCATTAGACTCTATGAAGGAAGAGCTCAAAGGTGAGTTGCAAGCTGCTCTGAATGAGGGCATTGACATGATCACCCAACGAAATACAACTTTAAAGGCCCAAATGGAGACTATGGGCAAAGAGATGGAGAAGCTCAAGAAAAAGCTCGCTGCTTGCAAGACAGCCATTGGGAATGGCGTGATTGCTAGAGTGTCTAAGACCCGTATGGGTATTCCCAAGCCCAAAGAGTTTAAGGGGACTAGGATGGCTAAAGAAGTAGACAACTATTTATGAGGGAAGGAGTAGTACTTTCAGGCCATGAGCATGTAGAATGATGCTACTAAGGTAAGCACTATTTCAATATATCTTACTAATGTTGCCTTATTGTGGTAGAGGTGTAGGTGTGATGATGCGAGGTGTAGAGATGTCTTAATTGAAACTTGGCAGGAGTTTCAAAAAGAGTTTAGAAAGCAGTTTTGCCCGAAGTACGCCAATGATGAAGTGCAAGCAAAGTTACACAGGTTTACTCAGTAGGGGGACATAAAAGAGTATGTCTATAAATTCTTTAAATTAATGCTTCAGATTTCAAATCTGAGTGAGATTGAAGGTTTGTTTGCCTTCATGGATGAGCTTAAGCCAAAGGTGAAGCACAAGCTACAAAAGATGAGAGTTCGTGAGTAGGCTAATGCCATGACCATCGCTAAGTCTTTAGTGGAGTTTAAGCCGCAGAACAAGTTAGGGTTTACTAAGCCCAAGGAGAAGGGCAATGACAAGAGGATTAAGAGAAATAGTCTAAGAGAAGGGGCTATGAGTGATAGTCCAAGGATGGAGACAAGACTATTTGGACAAGGGTGTCCAAGGCAAACCACCAACAAGAAAGTGGAAGGAAAATGGACATCGAAAGCCAATTTCATGCTACTTGTGTGGATAATCACATTTAGCTCAAAATTGTCTAAAGAAAGATAAGCTAGCTGTTGTAGACAAGGAGTCAGATAGGAAGCCAGAGGTCAAGACAGTGAAGATTGACTCAATCGTGTTCAATGCTATCTATAGTAAGGGAAGTCGTAAGCCAAAGGGCTTGATGTTTGCGGATCTGATGGTTACGAGTAAGAAAGTAAGCACACTAGTGAACACAAGTGCCTCGCATTTTTTTATTTCAAGTGATAGAGCCTAGAAACTCGAACTGAAGGTGCATAAAAGGAGTGGTACCATCAAGATGGTGAACTCCAAAAAAGTTTTAGCCATTGGAGTAACGCTGGGGTAGAGATATAGCTTGGAGCTTAGAAAGGCAAAAAAATTATTAAGGTAATTCCTTTAAATGATTATGAGTTTGTGATTGGGTTAGATTTTCTTGTTCGAATTAATGCCCTCTCTGTGTCTTTTGTAAACTACATATGTATTTTGGATGTACGGTGCCAATGCCTTGTACCATTGAGACACGGGTTCAGGATTAGGTTTAAGGTACTATCGACCATTCAATTTGCCAAGATAGTGAGCAAAGATGAAGACACCTTTTTAGCTAACCTAAAGTATGATGAGCTAAGGGAGAAAGAGATTAAACCCCCTTAAAGGTGCAAAAAGTGTTGGAGACCTTTACCGATGTGATGTCCGTAAAGTTACCTCGTAAGCTACCACCCAAAAGAAATGTGGATCATAAGATCGAGCTAGTGCCCGAGGCCAAGCCACCAACCAATGCTTTTTACCGAATGTCCCCACCAGAGTTGGAAAAGCTGAGGAAATAGTTTGGGGAATTGATTGATGTTGGCTACATTAGGCCATTTAAGGCACTGTATGATGCCCCGATTCTATTCCAACGTAAGTACAATGAGTCCTTGCAATTATATGTTGACTACCGAACATTGAACAAGCTAATCATCGAGAACAAGCATCATATCCCACTTGTTGCAAACTTGTTCAACCAATTTGGTGGTGCAAGATGGTTCATCAAGTTGGATTTAAGGTCAGGTTATTATCAGGTCAGGATCACGGAGTGATATGAGCCCAAGATAACATGTGTCACCCTCTATGGCTATTATGAGTTCTTGGTTATACCATTCAGACTCACCAATGCCTTGACAACATTTTGCACACTCATGAGCAAGGTATTTCATTCATTCCTTAATTGTTTTGTTATGGTTTATCTTGAGGATATTGTGATATACAACCAAACATTAAGAGAGCATATAGACCACTTGAGACAGGTGTTTAAAATGTTATGGGCCATGAACTATATGTGAAGAAGGAAAAATGCTTATTTGCCTAGTAAAAGGTACCATTTTTATGCCACATAGTGGAAGATGGCAAGATACGCATGGATGCAAGCAAAGTGTGTGCCATTCTGGATTGGGAGTTGTCTGCCAAGGTAATTGAGTTGAGGTCATTCTTTGGGCTGGTCAACTACTATCGACGCTTCATCAAAGGCCATTTAGCTATAGCCACACTATTAACTGATTTGTTCAAAAAGGGAAAAACGTAAGAGTGGAACACCGAGTTCCAAGAAGCTTTTGATTGATTGAAAAAGATAGTGACTGAGAAGTCAATGTTAGCCTTACTAGACCATGCTAAGCCATATAAAGTGCATATAGATACATCAGACTTTGTGATAGGGGGAATATTGATGCAGAAGAACCATTCAATTACATTTGAAAGCTGAAAGCTCAATGAGATCAAGTGTAGGTACAAATTTTAAGAGAAAAAGATGACAGCAATGGTGCACTACTTATGCACTTAACTGCATTACTTGTAGAGGTTGAGATTCATGGTCAGAATAGACAATGTGACAACTAGGTACTTATAGACGCAAAAGAAGCTATCCCTTAAATAGGTTCGTTGGCAGGATTTTCTTACAGAATTTGATTATAGGTTAGAGTACAAGCTAGGGCAAGCAAACATGGTGGCTAAAGCCCTGAGCAAGAAGGTGAACCTTGCTACCATTAGCCAACCAGAGGGGTTTTTGGTACTACGCATCAAAAAAGGGCTCATGCATGATCTTATAGCCAAAGCTTTCATCAAGTATACCAAGCAAGGGAAGACTAGGCGATTTTGGTTGTAAGATGACTTGTTGTACACCAAAGGCAGTAGGTTGTATGCAAAGCTATGTAGGGAGGTTTTACAAGAGTGCCATGATTTGAAATGGGCTGGTCACCCAAGGGTGAGCTGCACTTTAGTTTTGCTAAAAGACTGATACTACTAGCCACACATAAGAGACGATGTGGAGGCCTATGTGAAGATTTATCTTGTGTGCCAATAAGATAAAGTGAAGCTCAAAAAATCAAGAAATCTCTTGAAGCCATTACTAATACTAGAGCAATCATAAGAGACCATCACTCTGGATGTTATACTCAGTCTACCGAAAGTTGAGAAGTTTGGGAGCATCATGATAATGGTGGATAGGTTTTTCAAGTATTGGATTTTCATTCTAACAACCAAGGAGTGTGTAGCTGAGGAGGCAGCTCATTTGTTTCTGAAGAACATGGTGAAGTATTGGGAAGTACCGAAAACTATTGTTAGTGATCAAGATAGGTGTTTCATAAGGTAGTTTTGGACTAAGTTGCTCAAGCTGTTGGGGTCAGACTTGAACTTTTTCACTAACATGCATCTGTAGATTGATGGACAGACTAGGCGAGTGAAAGGTTTGTTGAAGGTCTACCTTATGCACTATGTGAGTGCCATGTAAATGGACTGGCCAAAACTGCTTGATGTCGCCTAGTTCTCGTATAACTTGCAAAGAATGAAGCAATGAACCAGAGTCATTTTGAGATTGTGACAGGTTAGCAATAACTAACACACGATTTAATTACTGTAGGTTATACAAGGCCTAATCCAATAGCGTACAAGTTTGCTAAGG